GGGGGTCACTGTCAGAAGGAAGTGGCGTTTGTTAATGTAATTTATAAAGTGTCCTCTAGGTGGAAGCATACCACCCAAAGTCCTCCAACTGATCGGAAGCGAAGAAGAAGAAAATCCATTATGGTATGTGACGTAATCTCTTCCTCATAACCTCCATCTTTCAGTGCCGCATGCCTCAGTGGATAACTGATCAGGTTTGTTATGATAAATGCTGATTTGTGTGAATTGCGAGGTGTTTGTGGAGCGTGTGGCTGTTGTTGTGTGGTCGAGCAGAATTGTCGGGCTGAACAGAGCAGTGACACCGTGTGTGTGTGTGTGTGCTGTCTGTTCGGTCCTGTGTTGTGTTTTCATCTCTGCAGCTGCACATGAACATACACAGCAGGTTGGTCAGACAGTCTGCTGACCAGCAGGAGCTAGTCGGAGGCGTTGTTGGATCTGCGACGTGTGTTTTCCCGTGTGTTATCCCGTGTGTTAAATGTGTTTTAGTGGTTTTGTTATATTGATGAAACCAGCTTTGTCTTGTTGCTGTCATTTTTAAACAGGTGTGTCTTTGGGAATTGGTCACTTTCTGTCTCCTTGTTAGCTCGTTTTGTGGCCACCGCTAATGTTACAGCTCACTGGCGATAGGGGAAGCAGTAGCATGCTAAAAATTAGCTAGTTAGCTGTAACATGTATGTGTCTTCAACGTTATCCAGTTTTCTCATGTTGTAGGAAAGAACATGAATCAAGAAAAACTGGCAAAACTTCAAGCCCAAGTCCGGATAGGAGGAAAGGTAAGTCCACACTGGTCCATTTGTTTAGACTAGGAAGATGTAATGTTGGGAAACCACGTATGTGTTACTGTCATCCTTGGCATTTAGTAGGTGTGTGTGATTAATAGTAGGGGCTTTGTTTGTTTGTTTGTTTTGAGTGATCATTTAAGCCTACAAGTGTGCTCCAGGAGTTTGTTCTGATGTGTTGGGTGTAGATACAGGAGCAGTGGAGCATATTTCCGACCAAACCAGCAGCGATATTCTTAAGTGACTTTTTGGACTTTTGGTTGAGTAAAAGAAGAAATCTGAAGACATCACTGGGCGCTGAGAAAATGTGATGAGCATTTTTCCATTATTTTTTGACAATCCATAGACTCAACTATTAATCAATTAATGGAGAAGAAAATAGGTTAATTGATAATGAAAATGATTTTAGTTACAGCCATAATTCAAAGTATGAAATGCATTTTTATTTATAGCAACATAACTACAGAGTACACCTTACCACTTTCAAATTCATAACAGTCAAATGTAATAAAATGTATTTGAGTTTTTTTTAGTTAAACTATAGGGTTTATGTAAAGTCATCATTTAGCAGCATAACAAAAAAAGCTGCTGTAGAATTTAACAAAAGAAAATTCTTAACAGGAACAGGAGGCACCAACTCACCTTGAAGGCTGCAGAGCTGAACTGTTCAACAGGCAGCAACCAATTCATAAGTGCTGAATGAAGACTCTTGTTGCCACCATTATCCTTTATATCTTCTTTTTTTTTCTTCTTGTTGGCTGCACCTAGATTTAAGTCTCTGCCATTCAGGAGTTGTGTGCCTACTTTGGTTTCAGGGCTCTGCGCGTAGGAAGAAGAAGGTGGTCCACAGAACTGCAACAGCTGATGACAAAAAGCTACAGAGTTCTTTAAAGAAGTTGGCTGTCAACAATATTGCTGGAATTGAGGAGGTAAATTGGTATGGATCTGCTTTACAAAGAAACCCTGAATGTTAACACACCTTGTGGTACATACAGTACATGTGATTGTGTGTGTGCGTGCGTGTGCACTGAGTGGTCCTCTCTTCTCAGGTGAACATGATCAAGGATGATGGAACTGTGATCCACTTCAACAACCCCAAAGTTCAGGCCTCCCTGTCTGCCAACACCTTCACCATCACGGGCCACGCTGAGACCAAGCAGCTGACAGAGATGCTTCCCGGGATCCTCAGTCAGCTCGGAGCAGACAGCCTCAGCAGCCTGCGCAAACTGGCAGAACAGTTCCCTCGGCAAGGTGGGTGTGCCTGGACCTGCACTATCAGACTTCTGGTCTGTCTGGTCACTTATGTAAAAGAGGAGGATGAGGAGCTGTGTCTAACCAGCACAGGGTGTGTTACAGTCTTAATGTATAGCAGCACTAAACAGATTCACATGTTGGTGGCTTCAGAAGGTCTGACTTAACTAATGAAAAATATGTATTTCACTACTTATAGATCCTGTTTTCATGCAGCATTAATGTTAACATTTATATTTGCAGCAGGCTTTATACTCTGGGATGGGGGTTGGGCTGGCTTCTGTCAAAACGATAAAATGCTGTGCAGGAAAAATTGGATCTGGTTCAACTTTTTCTGCAATGCAACATGACATCATCCAGCAAGATGCTGCATTGGCCAATCATGTGCAAGCACACACTGTATTTCTGTTGTTTACCTCAGTATCTTCACAACTAAAGGTAATAGAGTTGGTGCCAGGATGTTTTGTGCTGTCTGTAAATATTTCAAACCACTGTGATCTAATAAGCTTTAAACACACAACTCTGCCCCCCCCCAACATTACTTTTATTGTTTTTCTCAGTTCCTTTAGTACATTTCTCGGATCAGTCGTGAACTTTTCAAATCCACTTGTTCATCACTTGCTTTTATCTTGTTGATCAAAATGTATTATCCTGGTTCTCTGTTGGAAAGTCTGACCTTCCAAAACACCTGGGCATTAGGGCCTTGCAGAAGTCATTAGTTGCAGAATGGTTGAACCAGTTATCATATTCTTTCAATCACTTTTCTGTCGATAGTGACATGTTTAGTGATGTGTTTAGTTTTGAGGGAGAAACTAAGGATTTTGAGCAAGTAACTGGCTTTTGTAGGTAGTCCAGTGTGTTGTGCTGTTTAAATGAACTGTTTGGAGAAATGCATTTACTGTTTTTCAGATGTTAAGGATGATTTGAGAAATGTATGAAAACAACTGAGAAAAACTGTAAAACAGGGCAAATGTCTGTCATGTCATACTATTGAGGACCAAGATTATATTTATTTAAACAGGGCTGATGATATTATTATTATCTCAATACTTTTCAGTGTTTCCAGCCTCTGTGGCTCTCTGCTGTCGTATCCAAGCCCGTTCATTCTACTGAAGCAATGTACTGTAGCAAATGTTTTAAAAACGCATCAGTATGTGCATTTTTAAGGACCTAAATAGCATCCTGAAAAATCTTAGCACTGTAGTTTTTAGAAAACTACTCAAACAATTGTCATTACTGTGTTTATTGGCAACCAGTTTTTAGCTATTAGTATCATTATTTAGCTGTTTGTAGTTTAGTTTTTAGTATATTAATGCGAGCTTGGTACTCTAGAGAGAACGGAGCAGAACAGTGCATGTGGGGCTCAACTTCAAATAAACCACACTGTGCATGTACGTACATCACAATGAGGGAACATGTCTAGTGCGATAGTGCCGCCAGTTGGTATATTTCTTTATAGATTTTGGAACATTGGCGGTAAGATGGATGAGATGTATCACGTGTTGGCTCCACACAAAGCAGGCTAATGAAAATAGGTATTTCATAAGATTTGGTGACAATCACAAGACTTGTACTGTAAGAAGATATCACATATGCTGTTACAACAATGTATTCGCTAAAACAAAAATGTATTTTTGTTCTTTTTGTGCATTTTATCTCAGCTATCGACAGCAAGGCTCCAAAGGCAGAGGACATTGAGGAAGAGGATGATGATGTTCCAGGTATGAAGTCAGACAGTTAAATGTTTTTTTGTTTTTTTTTCCCTTTTCTACAGACGCATTAGCAGCAATTTCCATAGAGTTATCCCAGAATTTGAAATGTTTTATTATTCAGTAAAATGAAGTAGAGGTGGGATTTGCTCTACTGCAACCCTTGAAAGAATAAAGTCAGTTTGGTACATATAGTGGAGTCAGACTGTCCTGCGGTATAATTAACACTTTGTTCCTGTTGTTCTGCAGATCTGGTGGAAAATTTTGATGAAGCGTCAAAGAATGAGGCAAACTGACAAACGTCACGTGCACATGGACTCAACTGCAGTGATACAACAAACCTTCTCCAGTCTTTTTAACTCAAGTAAACCAGACACATCCCCCCCCCCAAGACAAACAGAGACTTTTCTATTTTATGATGGCCCACAGATATCTGAGTCAGACTGGCTGTGCACTAAAAAGAGAAACACTCCTACTTCTGGTAAACCGTTAAATCCCTTCATCACATTGTCCGTCACGATCAGGACTAGAGGGTCATTAAAGCTCATGTCTTAAGACCTTTTTTGTTTATGAAACAAAATAAAGGTGATTAACATTTTTAAGGTGGTGGTGTGGTCATTGACAAGGATTTGTAAAAAAAAAAAAAAAAGTTCTCCAAATGAAAATTTTGCATAGAAATAGTAACGATCTACAAACAAAATGCTTCTGAAACAAAATATAATCTTTGCTAATTCTGGGTCACTGAAAATGATTTGGTCTGGTTTGTCGGCTATATGGTGCTGGCCGTGTATCAGATTTTGCCTCAAATTGTCCAATCTTTGTTACGTTACAGAAGGAAAGGCCTCTGAGCAAAACCAGAAATTGTAATGACATAAATCTTTGTGGTTCTAATGATAAAACTAGCAAAGACAAATTCTTTGTGTATAATCAAAATCAAAGGGTGATAATGGCTAAATATCTTGAAACTATAGCCAATTAAGTCTTTTAAAGGTCATATTGGAATTTATGGGTTTTTTAAAATAGTAGACCAGTAAAATCTAGTCATTTACTGATCCTGACAGGTTGTAGTGGGAGGCTTTTGTATCCAGCATCACAGCTCTGGTTTGGCTTGTTCGCTGCCCTGCGGCTTGTGGAGCCAGCAAACTGGGGAGGGACATTTCTGCACTCCTCTTGAGTTTATTCAAAGAGCTGCAGAGACACAGGGGAGGAGGAAGATCGCACATGGAGGGAGGGGGGAGAGAGGCGAAATCGTATTATCCTCCACTTGTGAACGATGCTGCTTGAATCCGCATCCCTCGGAACTTGGATGTGACAGGATAAAATGCTGAAGTTCTTCTCTGCGCGGGACGACGAGAATGAAAGCCTTCTGGGAGCAATGACAGAAGGTAAGACGCATTGAGTTCAACGGGGTAGGGGGCGCTTTACTCTTCATTCGGTGCTTGTGTGGTATAAGATGATACTGCGCGTCTGTGTTTGATACAGAAAACCGCTGATACAGCATTTGGCTGCGCGCATAGTCTGCATCATCTCAAACGTGTGAGTTGCGCACATTCCTGTGTTAAGACAGGCTGCGCACATACACACGCTGTCCTAAGACTCCCCAAACGTCTCAAGATAATCTCAGTAGAAGCGTCCTGCCCGGTCTGATGTAACAGGATGCGAGGTGAGTGTCGCATTGCCTCCGGCCTCGGTGCCTGCCAGCGGATTAAACATTTGCGCGTGTGTTGAATGCGTCACTGTCCCGGGAAGCGGGCGCGCAGTGAGCTTGATCGGTGCAGCCGTGCCACCGTTTAGTGAAATCTTTACTCCATAGCTGAACCAGCCCGGCTGACAAAGAGTCTGCAGTGCAGTTTAACCTGGCAAACTAGTTCGTTTATGGGCTTTTACAAATCATAAGGGGTCGTTTTGCAATTTATACCAAAGCACCTATCCCTGAACAGTCTGCTTACTGCACGGGTTGCTGTGCGGTAGCCTGTTTAATTGCAGTGGTGTATGAGGTACTGAGATAATTTACTTAGGTAAAAGTAGCAATAACCTGCCACAGTCTTAAATACTCAATTACAATTAAGTATTAGCATCAAAATACACTTAAATGTTGCAGCTGGTGCTAATTTTAACTACTTTATGCTTATAATTTGAAGTATTTTACATATTGCTGCAGGATCACTAAAGGTCTATGATTATGGTTTAATAATGTCAAACTAAAAAGTATCCAGTAACTAAAGGTATCAAATTAATATTGTGAGTAAAAGTACACATTTTTCTCTGAATGTAGTAAAGTCAAATTATGAGGTAACAGATAATGAAAATACTCAAGTAAAGTACAGATTCCTCAAAAATCGTACTTAAGTATAGTACTTGAGTACATGTACTTTCGTTACTTTCCCCCTCTATTTAATTGTTTGCTTTAGTGGCTCCTGATGAATTATCGCTCAGTGAAACAGCAACAGATGTATGACCGTCCTTTGTAGTGCTGTTGGCACTCAGATACAGAACCACTGTTGAACTTTTTGGCCTCTGGGGAAGCCAAGTGATATTGTCAGCTGCTTCTACACGGTTCTATACTGATATTTAGTCCACACCGTACCTCTTTTAACAACAACTGTACACATAAATTAACACATACTGCTGAGTGGCCACTTCATGTGAACACAGCTTTCCTGACTAGTGAGTTGCTGTTAATGGGCATGTGTGCATGGTATGTGAATGTGTGTGTACTTCACAGACAGAGGTAAACATGTTCATTATATTATCATGCTTCCTCTCAAAACAGATGAAGGAGACAATCTGTCTCTTAAAGAAAGCAAACACCACTGGTTGAACAGACCCTGTCTCCTGGTTCTCAAAGATGGGGAAGTGTCAAAACCTGGATTGGGCTGTGGACAAATTGGAGCAGAATCTCCTTCTAAAGCCACATCGGATGCAACAGACAGAGGCACTTTTGGATCACGTGAGCAGAAACCATGTAAACATCCTGTCAAACCTGCTTCACCCTCCCAGCTGGAGGAGGGCAGCTGCACTGTGACCACTGTCTCTTCATGGGGCGAGAGCTGTTTTGGGGAGTGCTCCAGTCCCCTGGTGCTGAGCCCTGCTGAGGCTGAGTGGGCTGAGGTGGAGGCAGAGGAGAAGAAGCTCCAGGCTCTCCCATTGAAAGAGGACTCAGTGATTGAGGAGAAGGAGCTGGAGGAGAGCAGGCTGGAGCAGCAAGAGCAGTCCTGCAGCTCAGAGGCAGCTACAGCATCCTTTACTCCCTTACATGAAGAGACATATGGCAAGGTGCCCAAGGAGCTTCAGAGTCAGTTTCACTTTCCTAGATCTAAAGGACAAGATGAGACAAATACCAGTACGATCCAAGCAGCCAGTGTTGCAGGAGAAATGGGGAATGTGGCAGCTTCCCCTGGGGATCCTGATAATGAGTGTCAGCTGAGCTCTGTTGGAATTCTGTCAAAGGATCAAGGCACTGTCCTTGGAGATGTAGCTCCAGTGTGGGTCCCTGATGCTCAAGCAGAGGTTTGCATGAAGTGTGGGGTCAAGTTTACCTTTACTAAGAGGAGGCATCACTGCCGTGCTTGTGGGAAGGTAAGGAGCATTTGAATTTTATATGTCCCCACCCAAAGTAAAATCTGACTTAATAGTTGATGTGTGACGTATGTGTGTCTGTGTTTGTGTTGTGTGCTTGTGTGTATCATCAGGTGTTTTGTGCACTTTGCTCCAATCTGAAATTCAGACTTACACATTTGGATGGCAAAGAGGGACGAGTTTGTGTTTCCTGTCATTCAACCCTCATCAAATGTAAGCCCTGACTTATTTTGAGTCAAAGTAAGTTTTTTTTCTCTTTTTTTTTAAATGAAAACTTGAAGTAGCTCTTCCACCTTCTCCTCAGGGACACCCCCATGGGGAAAAAGGAGGGTGTGGTTCGCAGATGAAATCCTCACCAATAAGCAGTCAGAGTCTGCTCCAGCCACACCAGTCAGAGGGCCAACCTTTTCACCGCTGATGAGACAAGCACTGGACGGGTCTGTTAAAAGCCCTGTGGGTTCACCACAGATCAGGGGAGCCTTGAGGCCCCACAGGACGACTATCAATGTAGGATCGCTCAAAACATAACTTTAGACTATATGATAGTTGTTGTTCTACCATTGATAGGAAAATGAATTACAACAGTGTTCAGGGCTCCTATATGCTAAACAGTTGGTACTATATACAGTGGACTTGACAAAGAAGTGGGCCCATTTCTCTACCTCCTTCTTCCTCTAGGAGGCCTGTGGTCCTTATGGTTGGGGCACCACTGCTTTAGTGAGCAGCTCAGTAAACCTCATCCCCCTGGATGGCCTGCCACCTATCCTTACCTCCACAGGAGTCAAAGGAGGTGAGTGGAGTTTAATGCCACTTGAGATAAACACAGGTTCACAGGTAACAACCAAATTACTTTTTGGTTTCTGCATCATAGCAGTGCAGGTATTTCCTGATCTTCAAATGTGCTTGGCCCACCCCATCCAAAGATAGAAGTAGAGGCAAAAACCAAAAACAAAAACATGCTAATTGGGCATCACCAGGCGAGGTGAAGATTGGGTCTGTTATGTTGAAGTGCTGACAAGCAGTGATGACAAAAGCAGGAGCAAGTTACTGCATTATTATTGCACTGTAGCTTGTTGTTTGTTATTTTCAATTTGTGTAATTTATTTCATTTTAGCAACATTTTTTATTTTTTTTCTTAATTGATTTTATTCTGGCTTTTAATCCTTACTGTTTTAATGCTGTTAATGTTTTTATTTGCCTCTGTGTATGAAATGTGCTACATAGATAAAGCTGCCTTGCCATATGTGTCAAGTGACAGCAGCAATTACAGAGCAATTATAGAGTAATACTGAAACACCTAAATGAGCAGAGTTTTCTGTACTGAATAAAACACTAACCGGTGATACCTGTTGGTATCTGGCATCCAGAGATTGTGTTAAGCAACAGTGAAGTTTTCCCACACCCATTTAAAGGTATCAGGACAGACATGTTACAGCTACCCCATTTTAAACTGCTAAAGTATAGTACCATTATGCATGATGATCCAGATATTACCAGAATCAAATTATGCATGACCAGCGCCAGGCTGCTGCAAAATACATGCATAAACAGACAAGCTTCTGTGCACACCATACTAATGGGCAATAACCCTTCAGTTTATATACAGCTTCATTCAACTCTTGTACTAATAGTGTACTGGCAAACTCCATATCTATCTACTGTAGCAGTTTGGGCTGGTTAGTTTTTGTGACTGCACTGTAAAAAAGAGCAGTGACTGGAAGGGTAGCAGTTTAAATTCACATCCTCAAGCTGCCTGTCCTTGCATTTGCCCTTCTTATAAAGAGACATTAAACTACAGGTTACTAATTATTACACAGATATGAATTCAATTTCAAACACAAATCCTTTATGAAGCTAGGTTTGTTGGTCCACAAAAGCCACAGCACATTTTTAAAAAAGGGTCTGCATACCAGTTCAAAGTATAGCTCAATGCAAAACAAAGGTCAGATGATAATTGTGCAACTGTATGTTTTTTTTTTCTTCAGATTACACTGTGGAGGAGCAGCCCTCTGAGACACTGCTTATTCAGGAGTTAGAGAGTGGCAGGCCCAAGCCTCTGGTGTTTGTTCTCAATGCCAACCTGCTCGCAATGGTCAAGCTGGTCAATTGTAGGTGTCTGTTATCTTTCCTTCACTGTGCATGATAAATTGGACAGAGAAATATGCACTGTAATCATATTGTACACAGTTAAAATTAAGTATAAAGCTAGTATGATCCTAAAATCATGCTTGATGGAAAATTAAGAAAAACTTTCCTCCAAATTCCTACTCTCAAATTCCTTCTCTATTTAGGAGTACCAATAAAAAAACTGCCCATGTACATGCTTGAGATTGTGCCTTGATTGTGGGTGACAGATGTTAACAGGAAGTGCTGGTGCATGACGACAAAGGGAATGCACGCTGTGGGCCAGGTGGAGGTGGTGGTGCTGCTGCAGTGTCTGCCTGAAGAGAAGACTTTCCCCAAAGACATTTTCAGCCACTTCATCCAGCTATACAGGGATGCCCACACAGGTCAGGTCCACACATAACAAGTTGCTTGTGTGCAGTAATTTGCAACAGGCTACATAGTAATAGTGGTGTTGACAATGTTGAATGTTGTTTTCTGTCGGACCCTAATCCATCCATAAGGAAAAATCATCTCAATGCACTGTCAAGTGTTTGTTTTTTTTCTGTTACTCATCTGTCCTTGCCTCTGTATTTCTGTAGGGAAGGTTGTGAACCACCTGTCACTCTCCCTATTTGGCAGTTGTTTCCTGGGCAGTGAGGAGCATGCAGGCTTCCTGTATGTTCACTCCACTCTCCAGTCTCTTCAAGGTCTACCTCTGCCAAACCAGCCCTACCTCTTTGGCCTGCTGGTCCACAGAGCGGAGATGGCCTGGGCCAAAGCCTTTCCCTTGCGTCTCATGCTGCGACTTGGGGCTGAGTACAGATGTAAGCCAGGCACTGGTGTGAAACCTTGCATCTCTGATGTTACAGGTTTCCTCTTCAGTTACAAACTCTATCTCTCTTTTGTCAGTTTACCCATGTCCTCTGTACAGCGTGCGCTTCAGGAAGCCTTTGTTTGGGGAAATAGGTCACACCATAATGAGGCTGCTAGTGGTGAGTGTGGTGTTTTGTAACTACATTTACCATCAGTATTAAGAAATTTTGTGTCGTAATTTTTTAAAAAGAGTTCCTCCCATCCTGTTTCAGGACTTCAGGAATTGCTGTTACAGCCTGCCAATGGTTCCGGGGCTCACTGTGGATCTAGAGGCTCAGAGGACCCGCATAAAGTTACCAACCACTGGATATAACGAGGTAACAATAAGTCTTTGTGTGCTTCACAGTTAATACTAAAGTTATGTCCTCTTCATCAGCCCCTCCTTTCCTCTCTGCTTTCCTGTTTCACATTAGCTGATGAAGGCTTTGAATAAGTCCAGTGAGCATGTGCTGGCCATAGGGGCGTGTTTTAATGAGACTGCGGACTCCCACCTCATCTGTGTGCAGGGGGACGATGGCCAGTACCAGACACAGGCCATCAGCATTCACAATCATCCACGCAAAGGTGAGCCATAACAGGATACTTGAAGGTAGATCAAGTATCATATTTGTAGTAGACAACAGTCTCACTGGACTGATGCATGAGATCATTTACCTGTGGTTTAGAGTGCACTGTAAAGAAAGATATAAGCACATTTAAAATTGTACAAGAGCGAAGTGCAGTCTTTCAAGAGAATAATTTTTAAAAATTTAACTCCATCATTAAAGCATAATTACAAATTCATGTTGTGCATTCAAACATTGTGCAAACCCAAATAACTTTATTCTAAATTGTAATCTTCCTAAAGATGTTACACTGCATCCATACAAAATGGAACTGTGGATGTTAATATTTCACTCAATTTTAGTTTGAAATGAATTTAATAGCATAGGAATGAGCAGATACAGACCAAGACATAACACTATGCATTTAGCAGTTCATCTGAAAACTGCCCAAAGGGGAATGCAAGGGACAGTAAAGGGAAGCAAATAGCACCAAGGAATCAGGTAGCTAATTATATTCAAGGGACAAAAGTGGTGCACTTTCCCTTATGTAACACTAGATGGCACTAGATGATGTTCATCACTGCAAAGATCACTTGTAACAAGGTTGGAACCACAGAGTTTCTTTCTAAAGATCTCTTTTTCTTTCTTTCTGTCTTGTTGCAGTTACTGGATCATGCTTTTTTATATTCAGTAGTGCTCTGAAAGCATTTACAGGATACCTAGCCAAGTCCAGCATTGTAGAAGGTAGGCTCTTCACTCAGAGAACACTCTGGTTGACCTTGACTTTTACTTCCCTGCTATATTCAGAAAATTCATTGCTTACGTTTTAAGTGGTGCATGTGAACATCACTGTCTCAAAACTGGTTTATTCCAAATATGCTGATCTTTGTATGTGTGTGTCTGTGTACATCTTAACAGACTTTGTCTAGGCGTGTGTACATGTTGATGCATGCAAGTGTGCCTGTGTGTGTCTCCCTGCTGGTGTCTGTGTGTTTCTCCTGTATCGCTGCCCCCTTTCTCCAGATGGGCTAATGGTGCAGATTACCATGGAAACCATGGCAGAGCTCCGTCGGTCATTACGGGAGATGAAAGACTATACTGTCACCTGTGGACGGCTTGACCAGCCAGACAACCAGGAGCTTGTTTGTGTACAGTGGGTGCAGGAGAAATGCACTGTGAATAAGGGGTGAGTGTGTGTAGCTGCTTGAAGCTCATGGGGCAGCTGCAGCAAGACAACAATAAAACATTCAGGTGTAAAGGTAGATTAATGAGAACTGTAATTAATGTGTAGAAAGCCAGTGGCATCTAGTTTTGTGCCACAAAAGTATATGCAAGATTTCACACTAACCAGCCATTTCTGGTCCATGTACAGTGCCTTGCGAAAGTATTCGGCCCCCTTGAACTTTGCGACCTTTTGCCACATTTCAGGCTTCAAACATAAAGATATAAAACTGTAATTTTTTGTGAAGAATCAACAACAAGTGGGACACAATCATGAAGTGGAACGAAATTTATTGGATATGTCAAACTTTTTTAACAAATAAAAAACTGAAAAATTGGGCATGCAAAATTATTCAGCCCCCTTAAGTTAATACTTTGTAGCGCCACCTTTTGCTGCGATTACAGCTGTAAGTCACTTGGGGTATGTCTCTATCAGTTTTGCACATCGAGAGACGGAAATTTTTGCCCATTCCTCCTTGCAAAACAGCTCGAGCTCAGTGAGGTTGGATAGAGAGCGTTTGTGAACAGCAGTTTTCAGTTCTTTCCACAGATTCTCAATTGGATTCAGGTCTGGACTTTGACTTGGCCATTCTAACACCTGGATATGTTTATTTGTGAACCATTCCATTGTAGATTTTGCTTTATGTTTTGGATCATTGTCTTGTTGGAAGACAAATCTCCGTCCCAGTCTCAGGTCTTTTGCAGACTCCATCAGGTTTCCTTCCAGAATGGTCCTGTATTTGGCTCCATCCATCTTCCCATCAATTTGAACCATCTTCCCTGTCCGCTTTATACAGTGCCTTGCGAAAGTATTCGGCCCCCTTGAACTTTGCGACCTTTTGCCACATTTCAGGCTTCAAACATAAAGATATAAAACTGTAATTTTTTGTGAAGAATCAACAACAAGTGGGACACAATCATGAAGTGGAACGAAATTTATTGGATATTTCAAACTTTTTTAACAAATAAAAAACTGAATAATTGGGCGTGCAAAATTATTCAGCCCCTTTACTTTCAGTGCAGCAAACTCTCTCCAGAAGTTCAGTGAGGATCTCTGAATGATCCAATGTTGACCTAAATGACTAATGATGATAAATAGAATCCACCTGTGTGTAATCAAGTCTCCGTATAAATGCACCTGCACTGTGATAGTCTCAGAGGTCCGTTTAAAGCGCAGAGAGCATCATGAAGAACAAGGAACACACCAGGCAGGTCCGAGATACTGTTGTGGAGAAGTTTAAAGCCGGATTTGGATACAAAAAGATTTCCCAAGCTTTAAACATCCCAAGGAGCACTGTGCAAGTGATAATATTGAAATGGAAGGAGTATCAGACCACTGCAAATCTACCAAGACCTGGCCGTCCCTCTAAACTTTCAGCTCATACAAGGAGAAGACTGATCAGAGATGCAGCCAAGAGGCCCATGATCACTCTGGATGAACTGCAGAGATCTACAGCTGAGGTGGGAGACTCTGTCCATAGGACAACAATCAGTCGTATACTGCACAAATCTGGCCTTTATGGAAGAGTGGCAAGAAGAAAGCCATTTCTTAAAGATATCCATAAAAAGTGTTGTTTAAAGTTTGCCACAAGCCACCTGGGAGACGCACCAAACATGTGGAAGAAGGTGCTCTGGTCAGATGAAACCAAAATCGAACTTTTTGGCAACAATGCAAAACGTTATGTTTGGCGTAAAAGCAACACAGCTCATCACCCTGAACACACCATCCCCACTGTCAAACATGGTGGTGGCAGCATCCTGGTTTGGGCCTGCTTTTCTTCAGCAGGGACAGGGAAGATGGTTAAAATTGATGGGAAGATGGATGGAGCCAAATACAGGACTATTCTGGAAGGAAACCTGATGGAGTCTGCAAAAGACCTGAGACTGGGATGGAGATTTGTCTTCCAACAAGACAATGATTCAAAACATAAAGCAAAATCTACAATGGAATGGTTCACAAATAAACATATCCAGGTGTTAGAATGGCCAAGTCAAAGTCCAGACCTGAATCCAATCGAGAATCTGTGGAAAGAACTGAAAACTGCTGTTCACAAATGCTCTCCATCCAACCTCACTGAGCTCGAGCTGTTTTGCAAGGAGGCATGGGCAAAAATTTCAGTCTCTCGATGTGCAAAACTGATAGAGACATACCCCAAGTGACTTACAGCTGTAATCGCAGCAAAAGGTGGCGCTACCAAGTATTAACTTAAGGGGGCTGAATAATTTTGCACGCCCAATTTTTCAGTTTTTTATTTGTTAAAAAAGTTTGAAATATCCAATAAATTTCGTTCCACTTCATGATTGTGTCCCACTTGTTGTTGATTCTTCCCAAAAAATTACAGTTTTATATCTTTATGTTTGAAGCCTGAAATGTGGCAAAAGGTCGCAAAGTTCAAGGGGGCCGAATACTTTCGCAAGGCACTGTATTATTAAATCTTATGTACGCTACCAGTCAAACCTTCCTACTGAACTGAATGGCAAAGTGAGTCCAAACATTTGACTGTTAGTGTACATACACTTTTCTGTGTTCTCCAGAATCATAAGCCCCATTGATGGGAAATCCATGGAGTCCATCAGCAGTATGAAGATGTTCCACAAGTCAGAATACAAAGAAAATGGGAAAATCATCCGCTGGACAGAAGTATGTATAATGGCCTTCTGAAAATAACAGCAGAAGTACATCATAATCGGTCTCTTGCCTTGACAATTATGTGAACGTCTTCTTGATCCCCCCTCTGCAGGTCTTCTTCCTGCAGAGGGGGGATCATCACAAAGGCAGAGCGACCGATTGTGCTGAACACAACCGGCTAACGGAGCGAATCGCCCGGGCTTTTTGCTTGGCGCTGTGTCCACACCTGAAACTGCTGAAAGAGGACGGGATGGCCAAGCTGGGTCTGCGTGTCACATTTGATTCTCAAGAGGTCAGAAAAAATTACAGCATATTACTGATACTGTATATTAGGCCTTGAAAGCATCAGATGCCATGAGTTTGCCTTCTAGAAAGCAGTCAAAATAGAGAAACCATGTTTGTTCAGAATTCAAAGAAATCTTTGAAATCTACTCTGCAATATATGAAGTATTAGAGATATACAAGTTCTATGAAAACAGCACATGGCGGTGAGATTAAGCCACCTTTAAATTGCATAGTTAAATTTATTAAACGATATATATATTTTCAAAATAGCTATTTGCTGGACAGATAGTTAATCCTTATAAATGGACTGTAAATCTATACAGTTAAGAGTGTAATGTCTGCACTTGACCTTTTGGGTTAGTCTATCAAGGCATTACAACACATATTGTATACTTGGCGGGCAAATCTGAAAACTTGAGACCTTTTATCTTAATTTTAGTTACTGATCTCTGCCTATGTCAGTCAGAATAGGTCTAAACCTATTATTAATTTTTCTATGAATGCTTTATTTTCAGTAATCATTTTGTATTTTTTTTTATTTAGCAATAAAATATACCAGTGGATTTCTGATAAAACATTCATCAGCATGAATTTCATCTGGGAGTTTTAGTGGTTAATGTGCCTAAATGTTTCAGTCTTCTACAGCCAACCAATAAAATGAAAAGTAGTCATAGGTGTTTCCATTGTAAATTCCAGATCACTGATCAGCCATAACTACTAAATTCTGGTATATTGGTTTAACTGCAGCTTGGGAAAATACAATCATAACACTTGGTTGTAAGAGTTAAAACATAAGCTCCTTGGTTTGATGAAATTCAAACTAATTAGTTGTTTTGTAATTTCAGGTGGGATTTATGGCTGGGAGTAACGGACAGCCCCTCCCAGCTCAGTACCTCAATGCTCTGGATACCGTTTTGATCCCTGTCATCCACAGCAGGGGGCGCAAGAGGGGCGAGGAGCCCATTGTGATGGAGCTCATCTTTTACATTCTAGAGATCATCACTTAGAGAACACACACACCCCACTATTTCATCTTCTTAACTCTGACCACGAATGTGTTTCCAGCACTTCCCATCAGTGCTGCCATTAGTTTCAGGGCAGTTAAAGCATTCCAAGGGCAAACCAGACCACATCCAAGGTCTGCATCCATCTAATCCACTCACAAGCAGAGAGAAGCCTGTGTGAGCCGCCCCCAGTTTTCTGATCTAACCCAGCTCTGCAGCAGACCGTCTGGGCACGCATGAAGGCTGTGATGGACCATCAGTTCAGGGTGCAGTACTTGCACTGTAGTAGCAACTCCGTAGCTTGTTAACATTCATATTACAACACTTTCTACAAGTTCCTATATGGAGAATACCTTTAAAGTGGGAGTTGGATTCAGCCCCATGACCTTAAAACAAAGAGAATGACTTGAAGTACTATATCTAGTAGATCTGTAGAAATTTGAATGAATGCCTAACCAGTGTTTTCATACTGGATGTATTTTAATTGATTGCTCATAAAATGCAATGCCAGTCTGGAATTAAACTTAAAATTCACTGGAACGAATGCACGTACATTTACTTAAGTACTGCCATTGTACACTATATTATACTTGGCCTATAGTTAAATTTCAGAGGGAAAATTTCTCTTTTGTTCAACTATAATTACAAATTACCCTGCAATTAAAAATTCACACAAGTTCTAAAATACACTGCCATAGATGGGTAGTTCCAACCTTTCAGATTTGTACTCACAAACCCCTTGTCAGTTTACTGTAACAAGCCATCATTGCAGTCAGCAGACCAATTTATTTATCTTGCACCCATTTACAGATTAAAATATAAAGTACACCCTTCAGAATAATAATGAAAATGACCCCTAGCTGATTGCCGAGTTTGGTGGATGGATCCAGTCTGCAAGACGCTCTTTGTCTTCCTCTGACAAAGCATAATGGGTCTTTTGTTTACCTCCTACTTAGTCCAGATACTTGGGATAGACGAGAGGCCCAAGCATGCGATGCAAATATTTTCTCTCTTTGTTGCAGCAGCAGGTCAGTCAGTCTTCCCTAAAGCCTGGCAAGTAAAACTTCAACAAGTTAGAGTAGATACTCATTCTATAAGTGAAAATACTCCAAAAAACATTACAGATAATTAAAAATGGAATTTATTGGCATTTTTTAAATACATACATACATTTAGAAAGGCTAAGGCATACCAATACAATTAGTTTTTTTTGGTAAAACTTAACAAAAACTATTCAAGTTGGGGGGGGGGTCCAGATAAGCAGTGACGGCAAATGAGGTGAAAGGCCATCAGTGTTACACATAAATAGGAGGTTGCTTGCAACATCAGTGAAGATAACATTTAGGTCTAAACATCTTCTCTTCATACACTGTGTTCCATAGATGGATCCCCCAACTCAAAGAAACCAATCAACCAAATGTGGGACCTCTACAGTGGAAGTCATTGACCATGTCATTTCCTCATGTTTTGCATAGAAAACTAAAAACAGGAAAAGAAACAGCCAAAAATTATCTTTGGAATCTGTAGTAGTTTCAACAGGTTCACAGGGTCATACTTCTTGGGTGTTTCCTTCCAGACGTCCTAGGCCTTCTTCATCTTGCCCATGTGAGCGCTGCCGTTCTCATGGTGAGCAGAGCCGTTGCTCATGGTGGCTCCATGGTTGATGCCGTTTCTGTTCTCATGGGTTTTACCGTTTGTGTATACAGCTGTGCCATTCTGACACTGCTTAATGTTCTGTTTGGGCAACCGCTTACCCTTCACATAAGCCTGGACCCAGAAGTTGGAGAAGAGCACGAAGAAGAAGGTCCCATACATCCAGATGAGGTGGATGATCACAGGGAACTGATAGTCACAGCTGTCCATAAAGTAATACTGGGTAGCGTGGAGAGAAATCAGGACAAACTGGGTCTGTTGAGAAGAAGGCAGTAGTCAGCAAAGCACTTGAGGAATGTCTTGGTGCTTTGGGAGCAGAAACAGACATGAACATTGTACTAAAGACCATATACACACACACCAGCTGAATGGCGGTCATATATTTCTTCCACCACAAATACTTCTGGAAGCGTGGTCCAGCAGCAGAAAGGCCGTAATAGAAATACATGACGACGTGGACCGAAGAATTCACCATGGCATGGAAAGATCCTATTCCACCTGTGGAAACGGTTGAACACAGACTGACTCTACCAGTGTAGCCAAATAACCTCTGACCTTGTAAAGAAATTAAGAATGTGGAAATCATGCAGGTTTTACACAGACCCTTGGTTAATCATTGTTAGTCACAATGACTAAACAACATTCAGAGTGTTAGAGGCAACCTGTACAAGGTTCCCTGAAGGGCTCAAGTAGGGCATGGTTGCTGACTGCACAGGTCTACATTAACAAGACTGATATGTTGAATAAACTAAGCTACACCCTGGCTGCTTTCATCTCTCCATTTGACATTTCAGACTCTTTAAAAAGTCGAGACTGTCAATGTATACTAGAGTGTGGATACCCAAACCAAGTGCAATGGGACACGTCTGTACCCAAGGGTTCAGACAAATTAAAGAATTTCATTTGGGCCCGGTTTGGACAGAAATGTGTGGCCTGATCAATGCTAAAATATGTACTCACCAGGAGCATAACTGGCTCCCCACCACCAGGTCCAGGGCATGAAGGAGTGGTGGAAGATGTGTAGGAATGTAATCTGACTGTGTTTTTTCCTCAGCACAAAGAAGATCTAACAGAAAGAGGGTGTTGGTCAGTTAAAGCCCATCTCTGACAACATTTAAGACCCAAAATATGAACGAGTGTCATGTTAAATGGACTGGACTTACTGTGTCCATGAGCTCAATAATCTTTGAGAACCAGAACAGCCAGGCCACTTGGACCATCTAGTGACGGGAACAGACTGAGTTAGCAGGAGACTAATCTGTGACCAAGTACAAGGCCACTACATTTCATTTAGAACTAGTCAAAACTGGACTGACTTTATGGAACTTACTCGTAGTGCTTGAGGACTGTGAGAGGTATCAATTATATCACATCGCCAGGTATATGTTGTGGCCCAACCAGACATCATGAACTAAAAGACAAGAATATTTTATTTACCTGGGAACAAAATGGTTCTAGTTAGCAGCCTTGACCTAATAAGGAAATTTTAAAAACAGTGTTACAAATAACTAGAATTACTGCTTCACAGGTGTATGCCTCCACCAACCAGTCAAATTCACAGGTATGGGACAGACATGAGGCCACTGACCTTTGACCATCAAAACCTAAATCGGTTCAACCTTGAGTCCTAGTGGATACTTGTGCCAAATTTGAAGAAATTCCCTCAAGGTGTTCCTGAGATATTGCATTCACGAGATTTGTACAGACAACCCCAAAACACAATGCGCCTCCAGCTGCGGCCATAGCGGCGCCATAATAAAAATACAACTACACAAATTTAGCCACGTCTATTTAAAAAGCAGCACTTTGTGAATATTTTTGAAATGGTCAAAAAACAAAGGGCAGAGTTAAACGGTGGCTTACTTCATAGACAATGTATAGTGACAGAGCCACTAGAAAGAAGTTGTAGACTATCATGGCTTCCTTTAGCTGAAAGGGCCTGCGATTGGCCATTATGCGAGGTCCCAGGTAAAGTGCGAAGAACAGGTAGCACAGCAATATTGTTGTCATGGGAAAGGGACTCTGCATCAGTAGATAGCCCTTAATCCGTGGATCTATAAGGGAAAAAGACAGACAAAACTAAGCAAGAGTCATTTTTTTTTTGTATTTTATCTTTTTTGGTAAATGACCTACCACATCCTGCCATGAGGTAGTCATAGATTTCTATGGCATGTGAGCCAAACTCCTGAATCTCTTGAAGCATGTTTGCTGTCTTAACACTGTGACCCAGTTATCTGCAAAATACAACACGCTCATTATTAGTTTCAAAGTATAATACAGCAGAGTCAGTAATTCAGAAAATAAAGATGCACTTCTTGGACACATCTGGTTCAAGTGTAGTTGTTCTAGAAGTGTTGGGAATTGAATATGTACCTCCTGTGTCTGCTTACCATTTAGGTTTCAATCCTTATGTGTAAACATTTGACATAACAGACTCACCTTTTCCCCCTATGGAGTAAAATTTACAGTGACATTGAAACAATTTCATCTGTTTGCCTTTAAGAATGAATTATAAAAATATGACAAAAAAAAAAAAAAAAAAAAGTGTTTAATTTGTTGCATGCGTGTTGCTGGCGATTACCTGTGACCAATAAATACCTTCATGAGGATCATTTTCTAACATTTCCTGATTCAGTGGGACTGAAATTCAATCACTAGGCCAGAGTAGCTCATCCCTCTCTCTTGGGGGAACAAAAAAAAAACCCCACACAACAGGAACTCTTGTCCCAGCCCCAACCACTCGTCAACATGGCCTGATTATCAGAGAGGAGGTGCCACAGGAAACTGGGAGAACATCCCTCATCCTACAGTAAAGCGTCACTGAGTCAATACCCAACCCAGTCTGCTTTCCTCAAATAAAATCCAACTAGGAGTGGTAAAGCAAAAAGTTGCTGAACTCTGACACCAATTTTCAAGTTCCTTAAACCGACTTCTCCTTTTGATATGTTTTACTGCCCCCCTGCCACTTCAAAGTGAAGCAATCAGGTTGGCTACAAATACTGTGACACGTGTTCATCAATATAATGTCAGTATGCCATGCAGTCTGCACACACTAATGCTGCTGTGGTTTTCAGACCTGCACACACTTCTGTTCACAACAAGTAGCAGATGCAGGGTGCGGTCTCCTCTCTGCACACTGGATCCAGAGGCAGCCATTGTTTGATAGACAATCCAAGTTTTCACTGCCCAAGGATTAAAGAACAAACCATCCTTAAAGACAATAAAAATCAAGCCAGCAGAACAGAGGGCAGGGAGCCAAGATCACACAGGTGTTCCTTGGAAAACTGGCCAGCATAAACAATTCAACTATACTGTACATTTTGACAAGGGACTGGATTTAAGTTTAAGAGTGTCAACATGATTTCAGCATCAGTCAGAAAAAAAAAAGCACTCACAACACGATAACCCCATGATCTGCTTATCTCCTTTGTGATAAGATTTTAATTAAAATCAATAAAAGGTCACTGAACTGTGTCCTCAGTATTTTGGCATTCATTGTGTCAAACTTGACCGTTTCTGAACAACACAGGCCCACAGTGAGAACAGACTGGATATTCCTTCCTAATGTAGAGAGCCTGCACTTTGTTCACCTCAGTGTTTTTCCATTAACACAGGGGTATGTCAACACCACTATCTTTCCATTCAATCTTGTTAAACTCTCAAGCGAGTGAGTCTGGCATTCCAGACTAATTTGTGACAGTCACACTTGACACTAGTAAACACTTTCCTTTTGCTGACATGGTGAAATTGAAGTCATCAATTCACAGCCCTTAGTGTTTTCCCCAAAGGGAAAAGATGGCTGTTTTTGAACCAATGTTGAGGAATTTGGGCAGGTGCCTCACATTTCATCAAGTGTACCATCATTTTTTCTGGAGCAGTGTCTTGTTCTGAGGAAAAATGCTGAACAGTTAAATTGATATCATGTTGTGGTCAGGTCAGTGGTAAATCCTGTTACTGTAACGGCACTTTGACCACACCACACTGGTTAAATCTGGCATCAGTCAGGAGCAGCTTTTAAAGTCCAACCTCTGCCTAAGTTCCCATTATGTTCATAACACCGAATGTCAGACAGTATCATGTCAGTTTGTATACACATAGAACCAAGCACCACTTTTCTGGGTTCAGTGCAAGTGCACAAAGTGACAATTCAGAAGCCCTAGAACAAATGCAGGATGTGCATTTTTTAATCCTCCTGACCAGACTAAAAGCCATTTCATTAGATTGGCAAACGCACACAAAGTTACATCGACCAAGCAGATATAGTACAGTGGAAAGGGAGGAGGAACCTTCCTGTGAGAACCAGTTCAATAAATCATATATGGAAAAACAGAGCTCACCCTGAGGTAGGAGTTAATGAACAAATGAACACGGGAGAGGAGAAAAAAAAAAAGGGAGCCAGGAATCGTGAGGTATCGTTATTAAGAGAGGCATTTTAAAACCAGCCTGAGATCTTAAACCACCAAAAGAACAGAAAAGTTCCCCAAGGAGAGGAGCTTAAAAAAAAAACAAACAAAAAAAAACACCGTGAGCTGCTCAACATGTGGGCAGACTCCACACACACACACACACACACACACTTCACCATATGTGCAACTTTGAGCAACTTACATTGACGGTAGAATTCTCCTCTGATATCATCAAAACCAGTGTGGACTCCTTCACTGGACAGCAGAGCTCCTCTGCAAACTACAAGGACAGGCAAGCAGGGGTGGCAGCAGTATAGAGAGAGGGAAAACAGATCAGGAGAGAAAGAGAGAGAGAGAGAGAGAACACAGTAAAGTGAAGTGACAGTGTGACTGGTACGGCAATCTTCAAATCCACACCCTCCCTGACTCACACAGTGGATGAATAACTAGCTCACAGAAGGAGAGGGAGGAAAAGAGGCGGAGAGAGAGCTAGAGCGTCCGTCTGAGACGACATACAGTAGGGGGAGGGGGGACGCCCACATAAAAATGCATCTGGCTTCTTTTGTGACCACTGCCCTGACTTCAACAGGTGGGAGTCTCTCTCTCTCTCTCTCTCTCTACCGGCTGACACACACACACACACACACACACCTCTGAAGTGGCCCTGAAAGTTTTCTCTCAGGGGTGGGCTGATATTCACAAGCAAGAAATCAGTGGAGACTCTCTACTATCATGAAGGGGGCCATTGTTATGCCTTAACTGACTCTACCAGGGCCAACACCCAGAGAGCGAAACTAGACTCTTTGCTGTGCCATGGAATAATCAATGTCGGGACCAGAAAGAACACCAAGTCGAGGAGCAGTTCCCAACTACTTTGTCTAACCTGTGCCGACAACTCCCTTTTGGTTTGGCAGCCAAAAGTTCTTTCCTACAAGTTTGTTTGTTTTTGGACTAAACCTATCATTCACTTGCTTCATAAACTTCAAAAGACTATAAATGTCCAGTTTACTGCAACTCAAAGAGCACAACAAGATAGATAAGACTAATCGAGGGCAAAAAACCCACTCAAGCATCATAAATAGTGATAAAACTGATATTTACATAGGGGTGGATAGTGAAGCTAATGGCAGAAACAGGACTGCTCCAAAAGGAATACATGACTCATAATACTTAAAATTCTACAGTGTGTGTTTAACATTTTGCTCTCCACAACATGAAACCCCTCTAGTGTCACGGCCACACCCAAATGAACTGAAAGGAATAAAGCATTACGATGACAGTAGTTTGCAACGAGTAAATGGCCACTACAGGAAGGAAGGCACGGGGAAGCCCTGTACTGTAGTTTCATTCATAATTTACTCAGACTTGTGAATGTGACTAGTCAGTGTGCCATGAGCAAAACTGTTTTGAGTTTCAGAAACCAGGCCATATGTCTGCAACCAATCTGAGAAGCAATGCTCAATCTTTCAGACCAACACAAGAGCAGAGCAGCCATGTAAATATATACAGCATCTTGCCAATTTAGATTGAACACTAAGTAAAAGCTATACAATGTACAATGAGCTCTAGCAGTCTAAAACTGCTATTAAAAGCCCATTCGTTTTGTGTGTTAAAACAGTTGAATTTCGCTGTTCAAAGTCAGACAAGAGAAACTCTTGCACAGTTGATCTTGTCATTATGGATCCTCTCCTCAGTATTGCACTGCATCTGACTGACTGGGCTGGTTTGACCAGTCACTCTGGCCCTGGGGGGATCGGGGGAGTGGTGGCAGCACTCCAGAGGATTTTAGCCCCTCCTCCTCTTCCTCTAAATCACAAAAACAGACCTGACAACAAAATGGATCATCATTTTCTGGCTGACAGAGGCATTTCAACAATGATACCAATCTGGTCCTGTGAAGTCAACACCCCTTTTTGACCTTGCAAAATAAACAAGGCTGCAACATAAAGATGGAAGGATATGGAAATGACAATTATGGTGGTTTACAAAAGTAGGTATTACTCTTACTGTTGCCATAGTTGACTTCTGATATAAGCCCCAAAACAAAACATGACAACTAACAGTGCATGTACCTCCTCAAAGGCACAACATTCGCTCATGCAAATTTGCCTCTTGTGAAAAATGAGATCCAGAACACCACAAAACGTGTCCTAAAATCCTTGATCAGGATCATCTTTTAGGGTATAATAGGCAGTTATACTGTGCATCTTACCAGAACAGTTCAAGGGTCCATCTTAATTACAGGCCAAGCTACAGCAGAGTGTGTTAAATGCACGTTAGCTGAAGCGCTTCTAGAGTATGGATCCATTGGATTTGATTGATAATGCAGAATTAATCTTTGGCAGTTGTTCTCATTGAATTAAGTGTGTCCAAACTTTTGACAGAGTGTACTGTATAGCAAACATGTGACAGCCACATTCAACTGATTTAATGTAGCTCTTACACTGTGTGCTGAGTGTAGTGGAATTCTAAATCAAGTCCAATCTGCACAGGATGAGTCACTGACCTGGAAAGTGTAAATATAGTGAGCACAAGTCTCCCAGAATCTCCACCAGCATGTGACACACTGGTGTGAGGAGTCCAGCGTTTCAGCCAAAGCCTCGTCCCCGTCTGCTTCTCAGATCAAGTTAATAAATGTGGCGAAAGAACTTCCAATGCAGTGTACGAAAATGAACAAGGATTCAATCTGGTTCGAAAAGTCAGATCAGTCAGGACCGACTTCGTAATTTAATTCAAGTTACTGGTGGTTTGTCCAACAACGTTCTGAAGGTTTTGTTAACTAAACAGTTATAGCTCCTTTGTGCTCACAACTTTAACAGATCAGCAGTAAGTTTTAAATGGCAGAAACCTGTTTGCACACCAAGACAAAAACTGATATAAAAAAAAATAAAATAAAAATTCACCTAACTGAATACTGGCCTCACATGGCAAAAACAGTGTCACATTCCAGTGAGGTCAGCAGGTGACAAAGTAAAGAGAGGAAACCAGGCAATACTCTTGTCACTGCCACCCCAAGTCTTCTCAGCATAGGTAGAAAGTAGCTAAGAACACTTACTCAAGTACAACTGAGGTATCTGTACTTTCATTTTCTGCTACTCCATAGTTTGACTTCCACTACATTTCACAGGCAAATGGTCACAATGCACACAAGAGTCTATGTCTCTTTCGAGATCATCTGGGTACAGACAGGAGATTGAGCAGCTGGCCCTGTGCAGTCACAACAACCTGGGGGTGAACATGCTAGAGACTACAGCAGACTTCAGGAGGAGCCCCCCCAACATACTCAGCGGCACTGGATTTCACAAGTTACTTAGCAGTAATTCAAATTGAAAGCATATAAAATTAGTTCCACCTTTACCAGCTGCAACATTAAATGTGATGTACACAATAATGCATCAGTAATTATAATCTAATAATATAAAATACATTAATGTAAATGTGCCATTTTGCATAATGAGTACATTTACTTTTGGCACATTCAGTATATTTTGATGCTACTACTTTTAAGTATTTTTACACTCTGGTATTGCTATTCTGCTTTAAGTAAACAATCCGAGTACTTCATCCACCACTGCTTCTCAGTCCAGATCCATCTGACATGACCCTCTTAAAAACAACTGAGATATGATGAACTACATTCAAAAACTGGCATGTTTCATTCCACATTGGCTCAAACTCAAATCTCATGCAAACTTGTTCTGCTGCTTTGCCATCCAGAGACAATTTAGAGGGGAGAGGAAAACAATTCCAGATCCAAGTCATTCAAACCATGCTCAGCTCTCTCACACACACACACACACACACACACACAGGTATGCCCTATGACGCACAGTATGTCAAAATAAGAAATCATAGAAATGAGTCATTATTTCAATATCACTGGAGTCAAGTTAAAGAGGTGTTCATTTCACAGTACACACCTGGGGCATAAAACACAAAAAGTGGTCTGAACCATGTAGGGTATTCAATTCGTCTGGCTGGACACACGTGCACGCACAGTAAAGCTAAAGACAACACTAACATTACTGACAGATGCTATCGACTTAGCTATGGTATTGGCATATAATCATGTATTCACAAGTTTGACTGTTTAATCTTAGTTTTACCCAGTGAGATTAACATTTCAAACTAACCATTGTAATACTAAGCGTCAATTACTGTCTTTAGACCTCTTAAATCTAACTTCGAAAGACCTCTTGTTGTAGTCATTTAACACTTAAGCATTTAGTGCAAGTACATTAAAAGTTCAGACACTGAATTAAAAGGGAGTATCCTACATTTTTGCAGCAATTTCTTATCTACTTTCAGGACACATAACATGCCTCTCCTGAAGAAGAAATGACACCCTTTTCTTCTATAACCTTGTCTGTTGCTGCATTTGAATATTCTGTAAGGATACATGATTGTTTCTGGGTGATACTGCAGCTGTGCCTGCACTCATCCCTAATAGATTTGAATATGCCTGCTGGTTTCCAGTTATGCAAGACAAATGTGCGGTATGATAAAAATGACAGACTACCATTTAGTGAATGAAATGAGCCAAGCACAATGCATCCACATGTTACTTTCAGTAAGAAAACAAACCTGCCTTGCTGCAGCTAGCCCTGGCTCTGGAGCTCTACATTTCTGATGAGCAGTCACCGGCCATATCAACCTGCCCGGTGCTTGATTGCTTGTTGAGTCTTGTTGCTCTTCTTTCTTTTCTCCCTCTCCTCTATCCACTTCATTTATTTACTACATATACACAAGTTTGGCCATCATTTCTATCAGTTATGATCCCAATTACAAGTTCAGCTCTAAGAATACTAAGCACTTAACTTTTTAAATCTTAATGAATAAGGGAATTTTCGCTCCCTGCTATCGCCAAGTGCTTGCTCAAGGGGGATTTGTTGGGCTTTCCTCTATAATAATAGTAAGGTCTAGACCAGGGGTGGCCAATTCCAGTCCTCGAGGGCCACTGTCCTGCTTATTTTCCCATCTTCAGATGGTGACTGTAAAAAACCTAGGAGTGTTGTTTGATTGCGAGTTAAGATTTGATAAGCAAATCAACTCAGTTGTGAAATCTAGCTTCTTCCACCTCAGGTTGTTAAGTAAAGTCAAGTCATTCCTTTCTTTTAATGATTTTGAGATTGCAATTCATGCTTTTATCACTTTCCGACTTGACTATTGCAATGCTCTATACTGTGGTGTTAACCAGTCCTCCCTCTCTCATCTTCAGAAGGTTCAAAACGCTGCTGCTCGTCTTCTGACGAGTACCAGAATATTTGAGCATATAACCCGTTCTGGCTTTTAGTCCCTTTTAGAATTGATTTTTGTTTTTAAGGCTCTTAATGGTTTGGCACCATCTCATCTCATGGAATTAGTGCTATTTAGTTATATGACAGCATGTTAATGTTTTAGAAATCAATGAAAGTCTCACTTTGGCTTCTCAATTTTGATATACAAGCAAGCTTGTGTGTAAATTGTTGAAATTTTGATTACAACCCTATCAAACTTCACACTTCTTCCAATGAGTGTGGTTATACAACAGATAACAGCACCCTTGACTTACCCAGTAACTCTCATTCATAATATATGCCCAAATTAAAAAGCTTTTCCAGCCACAGCAAGAATCCAACTTAAAACTCTGTCCTTAAATATCACCAAGGGAGTGCTCTGTCCCAAAAGAGCTGGACCCAGGAGGTTCAGACTGTTTAAACAATCTCTCACTGCCATTTGTAATAGACAGCATGCAAACTTGAGGCAGTTTCTATCCATTAACATGGGTGAAATATTCAAGCACCAACCCTCATGAGTTTTGAGTAAAAATCATGAGCTGGAATTTTGCCTAACACACACCGCCAAGAATTAAATTTACTGTATAAAGCCAACATGGGCCCCAATTCAACTGACAACATCCAAAGTAAAGACAGCTGTACAGTATGCAAGAGGCCGCCATCATGAAGCCACCGAGCCCCATCGACACAGTGTTGAAACGCCCTAGGGGATGGCTGAACACGACCCTGGAGAAATCCAGGATCATCCACTGCCAGTTATCAGCAACACTATTATGAGTTATTCTTCAACAAACAAAATAACTGAATAGTAAAGTGTTGTGTCAAGGATCACTTAAAATGCCAGACATCACCAAGTAAGTAAATGGTGGACATTCTTTGACAGTCCTACCAGAAGAAACACTGTTTAAAAAGAGAGGGTGTAACTACTGGCTGAAGCTTGGATGTAGACATAGGAGGCTGATGAGGGGATAGCATCATCAAATGCCACTGTAGGGTTTACATAAGAGAACCACCTAAAAGCCTTTATTCCAATCCCACTAATTTAGTTCTGGCTGATGTTTATAGGTCTACACCCAGTGGGTAATCCCTATTGGTCTTAGGAGGAGGCCATCAACTGGTAACAAAAGCATTAGTGTCAATAACCTACCATTCTTTATTTTCTTGCAAGAAGCTCTCACGGCCTGCAGTTACATACACCAATCAGGCATAATATTATGATTACACATGATCACTCCTATGTTTACATAGGAGTGAGTCAATGTGGCAGTTGGCTGTCACTCGTGTCACTCTGCATCTTCTGTGAATCAATTTGCTTCCACAGTTCTACTGTCAGGAAGAGCACAGATGTGTCTACAATTCAGTGACAAACTTATGTAAAAAGAGTGAAAACTGTGGTCGTGAGGACGAGTTGGAGAATCTTTTAGACAAATTCAACATCCTCACCGCTCTAGGTGTGATATCACCACTAGAGCCCCTGACTCTTTCTCTTCATAAAGACCAAGGGACAGTATTTCTCATTTACAACCATTTTAACAAAGAGTCAAATAAATATGTTAATCTTTTGAAA